TTAAAGGGAGAGATGAAGAGGAGGAGGAAACTGAGGAGGAGGATTAAACAGATTTGGACGATTTTTTTTTTTTTTTTTACTTCAAACCAAGCGAGACATGGTAACTGTACTTTTTCAATAAATGATCCTAGTGTTTTATAGGTTCAAATAGACACAAAATCTCATTTTTATTCATTCCACTGGTAGTCTGTTTTGCTCAAATAGCAATAGAGGCCTGTCTCTAATACTGGCCTCTATCCAATAAAGGCCTGGACCGCGATGCACTTGAGTGAAATAAAGGCCCGGGCCTATATTAGAGAATTTACGGTATGCTAGAGGTTCTATCATGGGAGGATGAGCCCCTACACAGGATGTACCACCGAAACATAACTAAAGTGTCAGACATCAGGAAATCCTACCAATGGCACAGAGGCACTCATCATGGCTGCACAGGAGCAAGCCCTAAGCACCAGATCAATAGAGGCCCAGATCTACCACACCAGACCAGACCCCAGGTGCAGACTGTGCAAAGAGGCCCCTGAGACAATCCAGCACATCACTGCAGGGTGTAAGATGCTAGCAGGGACTGCTTACATGGAGCGCCATAACCAAGTGGCTGGAATAGAATACAGGAACATCAGTGCAGAGTCTGGGCTGGAAACCCCAAGGTCAAAGTGGGAAACACCTCCAGAGGTGTTAGAGAATGACAGAACCAAGATCCTGTGGGACTTCCAGATACAGACGGACCAAATGGTAATGGCAAACCAACCGGACATTGTAGTGGTGGACAAAAAGCAGAGGAAAGCTGTTATGGTTGCCATAGTGATACCAAGTGTCTGCAACATCAGGAAAAAAGAACATAAGAAACTAGAGAAATACCAGGGGCTCAGAGAAGAGCTGGAGAAAACCTGGAAGGTCAAGGCATCAGTGGTACCTGTGGTCATTGGGGCCCTCGGGGCAGTGGCCCCCAAACTGGAGGAGTTACAGCAGATCCCTGGAAATACATCAGACATCTCGGTCCAGAAGATGCAGTTCTAGGAACAGCAAAGATACTGGCAGAACCCTCAAACTCCCAGGACCCCAGCTTGGAGGAAAAAAGGGGGAGACCATCCACCATATATATATGAGGGATATATATGAGGGTCATGGGAACTTTTTGATGGCATTAAAGGAATAGTACACCCAAAACATGATTAGCCTTCATTTTCTACTCACCCCCATGCTGAACAACACTCTGGAGTACTTTTTGATATCTCAAATGCATCTGGAGATCTGGGAGGCTTCTTGCTGTCTGCTGACATTCAAATAATGGAGGTCTATGGCGCCCGAGACAGAAAGGTCCACAAAAGTCCACAAAAAACGTGTCAATATTCCTCCATACTGCTCGTCCAATGTATTCCAAGTGTCCTGAGTGGGTAGCGTCCAGAATTTACTCGAAACGAAGTCATTTAGAATGTTTTTAGAGCATAAACAGTAGTGTATAGGATTTCCTGAAAGCACGTTCACGACGCTACGGAAACCGCGGCAGACCAAACCAGATGAAAGTGCGCATTCAGCGTCTGCTCTGCCGATAATGCAAGCGTAGAAGAAGAAATGTGCTGTTTACCTGTGCAAAGAAAGAAACAACGAAAGAAAAATGTCTGAGGACTTCAGTGTTGAGGAAGAGCATGAGTTCTTTGACGAGCTGAATGCGCACTTTCGTCTGGTTTGGTCTGCCGCGGTTTCCGTAGACTCGTGAACGCGCTTTTAGGAAATCCTATACACTACTGTTTATGCTCTAAAATCATTCTAAATGACTTCGTTTCGAGTAAATTCTGGATGCTACCCACTCAGGACACTTGGAATACATTGGACGAGCAGTATGGAGGAATATTGACACGTTTTTTGTGGACTTTTATGGACCTTTCTGCCTCGGGCGCCATAGACCTCCATTATTTGAATGTCAGCAGACAGCAAGAAGCCTCCCAGATCTCCAGATGCATTTGAGATATCAAAAAAGTACTCCAGAGTGTTGTTCAACATGGGGGTGAGTAGAAAATGAAGGCTAATCATGTTTTGGGTGTACTATTCCTTTAAGATAACTTCAAAGAGTTTTTTTTAGAGTTACTCATTCCTGTATGACTCCTGATAATGAATGAAGTTTCTGATTATGCTTGTTGACTGTTGGTTATTTTTTTATCACCGGTCATATAAACATTCTCCCTGACTAACCCAAGCTTACGTTAAAAGCTGCTGGAGCTGTTTTTTTATTTTTTTCTCCTCTTCTCTTTGCTGATTAAACCACTTTTTTTTTTACAAAAAAAAGGGGATTTGTTCTGTGATTCCTGGCACAGATGCCGTCACATTTCTCTTTTGGGCGTAGTTAAACTGATGCAAAACCAGGCCTTGTTCTGCTTTCACTACCCCTCCTTCCTAGGAAATTACCTCACATTCTCCACGCGAGATACGAGAGATGGATGGCAGTAGGGCACCATGAAATATGCACCACGCGGACAAACAGATGGGAACTCCTTACACATTGTGCTGTTCACCATTTTGCCTGTTTTTTTGTTTTTAGATTAGTAAAATCACTTAAACTTGATGTAGGAGAATAAAAGCCCCTTGATTTTTTATAGATTATAACCCATCAGTGAAATAAATGTTATGGAAAATACTCAATATTCATATAAAAATCTAGAGTTTTATTGCAATAAAAAAGATCACATGATGAGAGCTGTTTCCAGCTCTTATTGTGGTTTTAGCATCTTGTCCTCTATGTCCAGTGTGAGCATCTGCTGCTGGGAGGCTCCATCCAGCAGGATGAATATTACATTGGCATGCAGTGAAACCCTGACACTCTGAATATCTTTGCTGATAATTGTTTCATTCCAACCGGCCCCATTTCACTATCTATTTTCTACAGACTGATGAGCAATATATGTACAATATAGAGCAGCTCCTGGCCCCTTGGCCTCCATCCCCTTCTCCCTGACCACAGCAGCAGGGTTTTGATGTGTGGGGTGCTATGTGTGGCTGCATGCTGCATCTGAATTTTAATACTCTACATATACTGAGTAGGGCGGGCTCTGCTGCTGGAAACTGGGGGGCCTCACACACCTGGGATGGGGTCCTGGTGTTTTGCTGCTGTTTTACAGGTATAGCGAAGGATTTTTTTGCAATTTTTTTTAAAAAGACCTGCCCTCTCCACTAAAAAAAAAACAAAGAAAAAAAAACAGATCCCATCTTGCATCGTCTTGCTATCCAACGTCCGCTCACTGCAAAAAATGTAAATCTCAATAAGTCATTTTTTCTTAAATTAAGTGCATTTTTTGTTGAATTAAGGAGGTAAGTGAGACACATTGCCAATGGAACAAGACAATTTACATTTATAATAAGAAAAAAACTATTGCATTGTCTTATTTCATGTGTATAATATCTATTTATCTTATTTTGAGAGTTAAAATACTCATTCCATTGGCAAATCATCTTATTTACCAACTCAAATTAAGGGTAAATACACTTACTTTTAGACTTTTTTACTCATTTTTAGATAATTTTTGCAGTGCATTGGATAACAAAATGGACAATCTCCGACTTCACTGGAAAAATGATCTAGGAATAAGTACAAATTTCTGAAATTTAGTGTATTTACCCTTGATTTGACTAGGTAAATGAGATCGTTTGCCAATGGAATCAGTATTTTACTCTTAAAATAAGATAATTAGATAATATTCACTTGAAATAAGACAATGTAATTGTGTTTTCTTATTTTAAATCTAAATTGTCCTGTTCCATTGGCAAAATGTCTCTTTTATCTCCTCAATTCAAGAACAAATGCACTTATTTTAAGAAAAAATTAGTTATCAAGATTTTTGATTTTTTGCAGTGTTGGTCCTGCAGCCTGGTTCTGGACGCTCCGGATGGCTTTACCGTATTAACAGGAGAAGAGGCACAAGTGAAATTAGACACGGTGGTCGGGAAAAAATGCACAAATTCATGTTTTAAATCAGGTTGAGTCTGGATTCGTACCCCGGTCCGCCAATCCGTGACCTCTCTTTTAGTGGGATCAAAATCCTGATGAGCAGAGGATTTTTAGAGGTGGACTTTTCACTTAAAAACATGTCAAAACAATTTTTCCAACTCATAAAGTAAATAAAGCAAAGCTGGTCTCCAGCCTAAAGCTGCAGAACAGAGCAGTTAAACAACCAGAGCGCCAAAACAACTTGGTCACAGTTTGATCCAGCCTCCAAATTCCGTAGTTTAAGTATTTTTGAAGCTGAAAATGCGTTTGGTGTGAAACCAGCATTAGAGATCACACCTAAATTAATGCTCTAAAGCTCTGTTTTTATATACAGCCTTTAAATATTTTATAGCTTATAATAAACATTAGTTAAAATAAGAAAGGTGATGCCCGTGTTAAAATGAGGAAGTTATGTCCCCTAAAAAAGCAGTTGCGCCTCGAGGGCTTCCTCACGGTCCTTTTCCTGGAAGCAAGTTATTTACTACTCTTAACTCAAACTGGGTAAAATCATATAAAAAAGGACTATAAAACAGGAGTAAAAAGAGAAAGAGAAAATGCTTGGAGCTTGCACAGCTGTGGGCTCAAAAATCACCTCCGCGAGCGTCCGGCAAAGATTGAGCCCCGATGAAGGTCATCTCCTGCTTCTTATAGCTCATGAGTCTATGTGTTGCATCATGTTGATGGTTAGCTGTCCGTATCAGAAACTGACTTGAACTTCATGCAGCTTGCTTCTATGCTTCAGGGTTACAGATAGCTCTCCTCTATCAGACCGGCTCCAAGATGTGCCCATATCCTGTGCATTCTTAAAGACACGAAGGCTGTCCTGATTAGATGACCTCCGTACACACAGTGACATCCACAGTGTGAAGGAAGGCCATCTACTCTGTCTAATCTGGCTAACAGAATAACAACGCACATGATTTATAAATAATAAACCTAACACCCATTATAATACATTTAAAATACCGCAGTGATGATAGAGGAATTAAATATGTAGATCAGTGAAAAGACGATATCTTACCTGAACAGGGTGTCGTTGGTAGCGGATTGTTTGACGGGGTTATGACAGTCACTGTGGCCCTCAGGAACGAAGCCTCTCTGTTTCCTAAAGCTCTGAACCCCTTTAACCACGATGGCCACCCCATCACGCACTCTCTTCCTCAAACTCATCCTCCAGCGGTCCGTGATGATGCTGATTAAGCCCACCGGGAAGCTGTCGGGCGGCGGGATGTCTGGGTTTCCCACAGCCATGCTGGGGATAATCCAGATGTAACCTGGCCCTACGAGTCCAACTTCAGTTGCTAATGAAAAAAGGTACTGCGCCTCCTCATGGGAGCAGTAGACTAACAGGACCTGGGCATCAATCTGCTGAAGCAACCTCCGCGCTCGTATGTCGTTCATGCTGTCGGCCGACATGTCGAAGGACAACACGTCCTGCAGATCCCACAGGAAGTAGCTGGTGTCGGTGAAGGACTTGATGTAATCCACGTAGGCTTCATAGCCGGGGTACAGGCTCGTTATGACCACAAAGCTGTCCCAGTTGTACTCCTCCATCACCTTGAACATCCCGTTGATCTGCTGCTCAATGGAGGAGCCCAGCTGGAGGAAGTTGGAACCTTCACCCTGGAGGTAAAGGAGAAAAACATGGCATTGTTTTCTTTACTCAGCATGATGCTAGTCATCCCAAAAAAAGTTAAAACAATCCACCGGACTTTGTTTCCAAGTTTGAAGACATTTTGCTTCCCATCCAGGAAGCTTTTTAAATTTAAAATGTCAAAATTAGCGTTTAATTAAAGGCTTTATATGGTAGTCTTGTTTCGGCTTCGAAAACATGCAAATTGAACCGGATCCCTTGGGAATGGGCAGTCGTTGGGTTCTTTGCTAGTCTGCAATACCCGATACGTGTCTTTGTCTCTGCAAGGGGTGATGTTAGAGGGAATTGTTGGCTTGGCATGGGGATGGGGGCCGCGAATGACTATGACCTGGATGACTGAGAATCTTCAACAGTATGTTGCTAATCATTTGTTCCTGGACCTCTGGAGGACATTATTTATACCATGACAGATCGCATATTTTAAACAAACTCTGCTTTGCAGAGCAGCTAAGCTTTATTTTAATGGAGTGAATGTTGTTTCATTATTGATCCAATCAAAGAGCCTGTTATGTAAAAGGAAATTTGAAAAAACTACTGCAATTAAAAAATAAAACTTTGAAACACTTAATCAAAACAAGGATTTGAGAGTAACTCTGCAGTTTTCTTCACAGCCCCTGTCAAACCTTGACGATTTAGACCATCGTATACCTGACGTATGAAAAATCTGGCCAAAACGCTGGCATACGTTGGAGAAGTTATAGGCACATTTTGTACAAGTTATGAGCTTGCAAAAACATGCAGAAACATGCTGGCACACGTCAACATACTCGTGAAGTTTGACCCGCTAGAAGAGCGAGGTGCGCGAGAAGCTGGGACCCTTTTTCCAGCTGGATCTCCGCTCTTTTTGGCCCTCATGTCCCTCCGTCGTTGGACTAAACTCGTCCCCACTTCCTCACCGCCTCGGCCGTATCTAGACCCACAGCGTGTAGCTCAGACCACGCTTCAATACTGAGCATAATTTAAAAATGTCTGTGTCAAGCTCACTGCAACACACTGCTGTAAGAGTATAACCAGGAAGCGCGGTAGGAGGGCAAAATAGGTTTAGCGCCACCGCAGCACGGGAGGGAGAATTACGCCCAGGAGCAAATGGATAAAAATAGACCGGAGAAAAAAAAAAACATGAATCGATTCTCTTGCGGACGTGTCGATGCATCGGATCGTCGGCTTTTGGATCGATGCATCGATACAAAACGATTATTATTTACACCCCTAGTCCCTACCAAAGTTGAAATCAAACCTTCGCCCTTGCTTCCACTGCAAACCTTTTTTTTTCTTTTTATTGATTTATTTCTTCTTTTTTTTTTTTTTTGGCGGGTGGCAAACAGCAGCCAGGTAAATACCGCGATCAAAGACATCTTTTTATGCAGTCCAGGCGCCTCTAGGCGCATCGCTTCCCCCTTCAGGACAATGGCTTGTGCATCATTTCACAAGCATTACGCTGTCGTGCTAAAGCACAAGTTAGGCTGTCGTAACACAGAAGTTCTGGACTCGTTATGGACACTCTTTGTATGCGCTGTAAAGGAAGAAAATATTCTAACATAGTTAACTTTGGAAAAAGGTTGGCTTTTCATTTTCTTCCCTCTCCAGGTCCACCCGGCGAGCTGCGTTTGGTAATATGAAAATCAGCAAGGCGTGTTGACATCACAGAATTACAGAGTTTAATCCAATATAAGACAATGCATAAACTTAGAAATAAGACAATGCACAAACCTACACCAGAAACTGCAGAACAACAGAGACATACATTCCATTACCTGACATAGGAGGAAAGAAAGCAAAGACGTACAAGACATCTTTGGAGAGTTGCAAGAGCAAAATCTGATCTTTTTCTTCTATTTAGAAAGCTTTATCCTCTTGTATCTAATCCATTCAAAAAGGGCTGGCCCTCGGTCCTCCAACCAAAAGCCATCTCTGACACTGCTAGGGCTTCCCCTTATTTACTGCAAACATCTGGGGTCATTTGCTTCTTTGTTTTAACAAGAAAAGGCGGAAAGCTTGTCCTGGCATCTAGAATTCTTAGGGTCATAAAACACAAGATAAGCTCCCACAGACAGCTTGTGGAATGCAGGGGGCCTCACCATAAATTCTCATGAACAAACTTAAATTTTTTCGAATCTGGTTCAAGGAAAGGTTATCTTCACAAACTTGTTCAAAGTAAGAAATATGTTCACAAGGAGAGTATACAACATACCTTTTACACATGCCATAAGATTAAGTGTATTAAAATCTAAAAATAATCATTTTTCTATAACAGTCCCCGTTTTGAGGTCTGAGACATACAGACCTCACAAATAAAATGATTAAGCCTTCTAATAGAAGAACCAAAAAACTATTTAGTATACTAAAAAACTAAAACATTAGCCCAATTTTATAACAGTCCCCTTTTTAAACAGCACCTCCTAGTTCCACTGCCAGGTCATGTGTCTGAAGCTGAACTCCATAATCTAAACTTATCAAATGTATCTTGCGCTGTCCAACAATTTAATACTCACCTAATGAACCACAAAATTTTAACCAGTAAAAACTAAACTAAAAATACATTTCACTTATCAAACATGAAAAATCATAAAACTCAGTTATGTCAATAGAAGAAAACACACAATAGAAATATTAGCCCAAGTATAAAATTAGAAAACCAGAGCAAGATATCTCGAAATTACTAAAAAATGCTCAGCAGACTTAAAAAACAATACTCGCCACAAAAATTACAATTTGTCAATACAAAACAATAACAACATCAAAGAAGAAAATAAATCACAAACACATAAAAATTACAAAAGACCTTTTTTTTTTCTTTCTTTTTTTCACAATTCAACAATAAGAAGTTAGAGTTCGTCTCTATGCTCCTTCGATAGTCTTTCAAAAATGAATATGAATTCTTCGTCAGGAAACGATCCAAAAATACGCGCAAAAGAAACGAATGTTCTTGAAGAGTTAGCAAAAAACGAAAACACGCAATAAAAAGAAGATAAGTTAATGATGATCTTGTAGCTGGATCCTTCACGTGTTCCTCCTCGGTTGTAAACCTCAGGTTTTCCACCTGAGTGTCCGTTGCTCACTGAAAATTGGAATATTATGCCAATTTAACAGTGAGTTTAAGGAGAGGGTGCAATCTCCTTTTCTCAATGGAAGGACACCGGAACAGGATTATTGTGCCTGTCTGGGCCTTTTAAGCCTTGTAATTCAGGAAAATGAAGTGGTTTTGGCAGACTTCTGCCCGGAAATGCAGATCCTCCTCCGCGCTGTGATGTGCCTCAGACACTCCTCGACCGCAGGTTGAGACTGTAGATTCTCCTGTATGCCCTGCAGCGTGCGCCGTGGCTCCTCAGCTGCTGTGCACTGACTCCACCATTTCTCCAAATCTTCCATCTAGTATTCAAACTAGACTGAGATGATGTAAATTTCAAAGTTCCATCCGTAATATCTTATCTTTGTAACATCCCCCTGTGTTTTCTTATTTCCAAAAGAAAAACAATTTAGAGGTGGAAAAACAAAAATGGGAGAACTTTCCCCCATTATGCTAAAATTTCAACATGTCCAATCAGTTACCCATTAGAAATATAAACCAAGTTTATTAAGGTAGAATTTAGGTTAGTGTGTTAGTGTTGTTAGTCAAAGTGGATAACACAATTTCCTAATAACTACATCTATCTGCTTTAAGCCAAGGCTGAATTCTCGTTTCATATTAATTTCACTGCACAAGCAGATGATTCAGCTTTAACCAGATCGTGACAGCAAAATATGAAATCGTCATTACCTTAAAATTGTCCCTTAAAGCAGTAATAAAAACATATTTATGAAACAAAACCTTCACTGTCCCTAGATAGTTTAAAATAAGAAAAATATCACACAGCTACACACTAAACTGAGGTCATATTTACACAGACCATCCTAAAACCCATCAAAGGCCATCTGCCTACACATTCACTCTCATTCACACTCAAGCAGACTCATCAACACATTGTAAGAAAGATGCAGGATGTTACCCCAGATCTCAAACCAAAATTCGTCCTATGAAAGTCTTAAACACAATTATTATAACACCATGGTTGAAAAAAATAACAATTTTCCAATAGGTCCAATATTGTTCAGTTTTGAGTGAACCTTTTGTAAAAACTCCATATTATACACACAACCGTATTTCATGATAGCCCATTGTTATTAAATGGCTACCTAGACCCCTGTAGGAAAACCCAAAAACCGTTCATGTGGTCATGTAATATGCAAAATGGGCTGCACACGAAGATTGTCCTACAAGAAACAAAGTCATTCATTAGTGTTTCAACATGTCCCACATTAACGGTGTAGAAAACACTGTTACGCAGAAAAACATCCATATGTTCTCATTTTTGTTCTCTTACAATCAGTGAGGGTGTTCCATCCTGTCAGGAAACCTAGAAATTTAAGTGATTGTCAATGTTACAGTATTATATAAAAAAAAAAAAAAACAATTGGATCATTCCAGTGCTCTAGCCTGGAACTGATGCCACACATTTCACCCACTGAGAAAGTAAAAACATCTGTAAATCTGTTATTTTGTACTTTTCTTCTCAACACAAAACACAGTCCTAAAAGCAATTCACATCAAAATCCAAGAATCCTGAAAGCGTGAGCTGGAAATAGCACAGAACTGAAGCACTCCCAAAATGCAAATAAGGGGGGTCAATCAGTCCCCCTGCTGTGAAACAAAACTTGCATCCAAAACGGAGACACCTCTGTCCCACAGAAGCACATTTTAACAGAAAGTTAGTAATACAACATCCAGCAAAAATATTTAACAATATTTCAGAACACAATCTTGAAACACAAATCACTTCCGCACAATCTCAGCACAATTCAGACACAGACAGACGAATAGACAGCAGCGCGTGGTGGGACATAGGCTACAGTATAACGGGGGAAGACAGACACACAGCCACAAACACAAAGAAACATACAAAACACAGAAACACAGACAACGTTGTAGTTC